CAGTTAACAGTCAGGCTGAGCCTTCATCTGGTCAGGATGGATCTTCCTGTTAAGTCAAGATGAGGGTTGAAGGTGAGTTTTATGACCTGTTTCCAGCTATGGTGTCATAGTGGATAGAGTGGAATTCAGGAGACCTTCAGCAAGGAACCTAGAGGAGTGAGGAGGACCTTAAAAATATCTTTATTCTGAAAAGCTTCAAGGCCCCCTTGTACTAATAGTCAACTACCCATTTTCTTTAAAGATGCTCCTAAAATTACTATTTCCTTTGTATCAATTCAGCTGTTGATAGGGAAAATATGTCCTGTGACTAAGGATGTCACACTTCAGGCAACGAGTGATCCCCAGGGTTTGGGATCTGTATCTTTGCTTTTCTACTGGAAGCAGGCTTTCGGGTCACACTAAAGGTTTCTTTGAGTATTGTTGCTAAGGCTGGTTGTGGAGCCAGAAGTTGGGAGTTGGATTTTCCTTCAGGGAGGAATAGCCCACCTGTGTCATCTTGGGCAAGCTCATCACATGCCAAGCAGGACTTGATAAAGTTGCTTTCTTTGACTGCAGCTCCCACAATTCTCCCAACCTGCCTAGCTATTGGTGAGAATCCTACGTCAGAATGAGGTCACAAGCTGGAGAAGTTCTGTTTCTCTGCAAACTGAGAGGCAGTTAACAGTCAGGGCTAGCCTTCAACTGGTCATGATAGATCTTCCTGTTACGTCAAGATTAGGGTTGAAGGTGGGCTTTATGACCTATTTACAGCCAAGGTGTCATAGTAGATAGAGATTCAGGCAGGAATTCAGGAGGTCTTCAGTGAGGAACCTAGAGGAGTAGATAGGAGCTTAAAATATAGCTTTATACTGAAAAGATTGTACTAATAGTCAGCTACCCATTTTCTTTAAAGATGCACCTGAAATTACTATTTCCTGAGTGTCAATTCAGGTTTTGATAGGGAAAATATGTCCTGTGACTGAGGATGTCACAATTCAGGCAACGAGTGATCCCCAGGGTTTGGGATCTGTATCTTTGCTATTCTACTGGAAGCAGGCTTTCAGGTCACGCTAAAGGTTTCTTTGAGTATTGTTGCTAAGGCTGGTTGTGGAGCCAGAGGATGGGAGTTGGATTTTCCTTCAGGGAGGAATAGCCCACCTGTGTCATCTTGGGCAAGCTCATCACATGCCAAGCAGGGCTTGATAAAGTTGCTTTCTTTGACTGCAGCTCCAACAATTCTCCTAGCCTGCCTAGCCATAGGTCAGAATCCTCCGATGTCAGAATGAGGCCACTCCAGCTTCACATACAGCATTGAAGTCCTCCATACAGAGCACGTTATCACAGTCTCTCGAGACTGAAGGATGCCTATGGGTAGCAGAGTTAGGCAGAAGGTCACCAAGTCACATTCTTGCCCATTCAAGGAAGATGCCATGCAATTTAATCTAATTCATGAAAAAAACATCATTCCTAAGTTTACATCTTCACATGCCCTTTTATGTAAATCAGTGCCATCCTTTGTCCTTCCCTTTGGTGATATGTGGAACTGGCCATCCTGCTACAACCCAAGGTAGCCAACATCTCTCTGTCCCGCTTTGTCATCATAACCACCATGTCAGGAAGGTTAGGCTGAAAGAGAATGATTGGCCCAATGAGCATGGCTTGGTGAGAACTAGAAGTTCTAACCCAATGCTCTTGCTGCTTCACTGTGGTTCCTTGGCTAACTGCAGAGTATGTGTAACAGTTCAGGAGGCATCATTATGGGCACTTCTTTTTTAAAATTCAGCTATTGAAAGTGACAGCCAGGGAGCTTACCTGCGGAATCGCTTGGTTTATAAACATGTTTAAAGGCCAGTTTTACAAGGATAAATGGTTCTAAGTAGTTGTTTTGGATCACAAGCTCCTGAGCCCTTGATTTAATTCAAAAGAAGGCCAGACAGATAGAAAGACAGAAAATGGCAAGGCACTGAGGCTCTTTTAGTCTCAAAACAACAAAGCAAAACAACAACCTAACCAATTCAATCCAACAGGAGAATCTTGGGGACATACTCTGTACGCTGGTGGTTGCAAAGAAACCACATTACTCTCCTAAAATCAACATGGCTGATTAGAAAGGACATCTTGATGGCATGAGCTTTTCAGCGTTTGAACAGACTGCATCAAGCTTTGGTATGTTTGCAACAGAGGCTGGATGACTGCCTAGCAGGGATCCTGTAATGGTCTGGGCATCAGCAGAACGTGGGCCTAAATTACCCACATGTGGCATGTTTCTCCTGTGACCATACAAAGTATAAGGGTAATCCCAAACAAATGGTCCATCTAAAACAGTGGTGTCGAACTGTGGCCCTCCAGATATTCTTGGAGTATAAGGGTAATCCCAAACAAATGGTCCATCCAAAACCTGCTGTCAGGAAGAAGGGTAATAAGTAAGGCTCCTTTGCACAGAGAGTTTTTCCGGTGGGAAAACATTTTATCATGGGTTTCCTCATCCATATCCTGAGTTAACAAGGTGTCATTCATGTGCCTGGTCATGATGCTGAGTACATGACCATGTGTATATTTGGCAGCTTGTTTAAAAACTATCATTCACTATCACAACTTCCCAATTTCACTTGTTGTTTAGTGGTTTAGTCGTGTCTTACTTTTTGTGACCCCATGGACCAGAGCACGCCAGGGCCTCCTGTCTTCCACTGCCAGCCGGGGTTGGGTTAAATTAATGTTGGTCGCTTCGATGACACTGTCCAACCATCTCATTCTCTGTCGTCCCCTTCTCCTCTTGCTTTCACACTTTCCCAACATCAGGGTCTTTTCCAGGGAGTCTTCTCTTCTCATGAGATGGCCAAAGTACTGGAGCCTCAGCTTCAGGATCTGTCCTTCCAGTGAGCACTCAGGGTTGATTTCCTCTAGAATGGATAGGTTTGTTCTCCTTGCAGTCCAGGGGACTCTCAAGAGCCTCCTCCAACACCACAATTCAAAAGCATCAATTCTTTGGCGGTCAGCCTTCTTTATGGTCCAGCTCTCACTTCCATACATCACTACTGGAAAAACCATAGCTTTGACTATGCGGACCTTTGTTGACAAGGTGATGTCTCTGCTTTTTAAGATGCTATCTAGGTTTGT